TTCTTACTAAAAAATAATTGATATAGAAATGCCTTGTTCAATTAATATGATATTATTAGAGATTTATTTTCAAATTCTAAAATATTGATAATTATATTAATTGGTGTGTTTTTCTGATAGAATTGATGTCACATGATATTAATTAACTAAATTCTGATTCAAAAAACCAAAAATATTGGGAGTAGTGAGATTCTGTGTTTGCATTCTTTAACAAAGTTCACCGATGAATTAACTAATTATAACATTAATTAATTTATGCCAATCTTAAATAGTAAACTCAATGTTTGTATTTGGACGATGCAATAATTTTAACTTGACACAATTACATTTTAAAACGATTTTAAAAATAAATTAATAAATTTTTTATAATGTATTAAAAATATTTTACTATAATTAAATTAATACAAAGATTGAAATTTAGTATAAAATGAGATTTTATTTCATAATTTAATAGTTTTTAAAATTGAGTAAAAAATATTTTTATATATATTTAAAAAGGTGTAAATGTTATTGAGTTATAAAATTGAAAATAAAATTTTGGTGTGAAATACAAAAGAAACAAAAATTAATGTAATGGTTGTGCTCTGATTCATGAGATGTGCACCACTTGTGGCCTTTAGGACTGTGACCTGATCCACAACTTCGATGTATGGGTTGGATCCGTCATCGAAATACATGGGACAGTCATCATCTGTTTGAATGAATCAAAACAGTTAACATTAAAATAGTTTGAGTCGATTGAGCCTATAATTGAATACATAATACATACGCTCTCTTTCGTATTCGGACATAGAGAGTGCAATCTGCGCCCCCTCTGCAGAGAACCCACTCCTCACGTCTTGTTTGATGTGACAAAAGGCGCCCACAGATAAAGACATGAGAATCACATTGAGATCTGCCCTCTGGTATACCCAACACCGGTATTTGCTGTACGCGTCCAACGGATCGTATGTTATTAAATATGATTTGAGATTCTCTTTCCAAAAGCCAATGCATTGCATCTTATAGTCGGGTTCGCTGTATATATCGACCGGTCGTCCGAAATGATCAACAGATATACAATAATTGGAATCAATTTCAATGATCTTCTTGTCGGCGTCACAGACAGAGAAATCAGAAATGTTTTCTTTGCAGTAGACATTAGGTCTCGGCATTTGTGTCACTCCTCCTCTGATACGAGTCTCGAAGTGAATGTCACCGCTTTGTTGGAAACGAAATTTGCCGGCAATCGGACACTTGATTGATATCGGATTCTTGGCTATAATTTGCAAAGTTTTTTATTGTAATTATTTGTTATAAAATGATATTAAAATTGTACCGATCATGAGGTCGTATTTCCATTCCTCGTCGTCGTTAAACATATTCCACGCGCAGACAGTGGCGAAGGTGTCGATTATCATCGGCTGTCCCTTTCGATACCTTATTATATTGTGATGTCGAGACACAAAGTCATAGCAAACAAAGTCTTTTTGGCTATAAATTGATAATTAAATTAATGATATCACATAACAATTGGTGGTCGAGAGCGCACTCACCAGCCGTTAATGCCGAGTCTCGCCATCACAAACCGTGTGCCACGTCTTTCCTGACAAACATATACCTCTTGTTTGACTCTTCCGGTGTCTGGTCTCCACTTCTCGATCATAAAAGTGGCGTTAATGGACACCTCGGCGTCAAAATTAGCCGTATTAACCCAAATACCGGTGAAATTCTGAGGTAAAGTGCACTTCGCGGGAACCACTTCTGTCTTGACGGGAAAAAGTCTTAATCTTTCGGGACCTTCTTGTGGTGATCGCAATGTATTGCATTCGGCCGTTATTGAGACCGAAAGAAAGACGTCGTCGTCTCTGTTGGCCAACTATTGGGTCAAACAGTTTTATTATATGATTTTGTATGAATCAAAAAGCTTTCTCACAAAACATCGATATTTCTCCTCAATTCGCGACTCTCTTGAGTTGACGACAGCGAAGTAGTGGTTTTTGCCGACATACCAGTCGCCTAAGCACTTGAACTGGACCTCTGCGTCCTCTGTGTCCTGCATTCCCGTACACTTTCTATAGTTCATTATAAACTGTTGGTTCACATTAAAGAATTGAGTGCCTATTCATTGCAATTCACTTCAATTAAAATCATTTCCAAAAC